CTACTGAAGAAATACGGAGTTCATCATCGAATTGCTACTCCGTATCATCCACAGACTAGTGGACAAGTGGAGATTTCTAACCGGGAGATCAAGTCCATTCTGGAGAAAACCGTCGCTAAATCACGCAAGGATTGGTCACAAAAGCTAGACGATGCGGTATGGGCTTACTGAACGGCTTTCAAAATGCCGATTGGTATGACACCGTTCCAATTAGTCTACGGAAAAGCATGTCATCTACCGGTTGAACTCGAGCACAAAGCTTATTGGGCAATCAAGGCGCTCAACTATGACATGAAGACCGCTGCAGAGAAACGCGTACTCCAGTTACACCATCTTGAAGAGATCAGACTGGACGCATACGAGAACGCGAAGATCTACAAGGAGAGAACGAAGAAATGGCACGATCGACACATTATTCAGCGATCATTCCACTCAGGTGATCTTGTCCTTCTCTTTAACTCTCGATTGCGATTATTTCCAGGAAAGCTGAAGTCCAAGTGGTCCGGCCCATTCAAAATCCATCGAGTTTTCGACCACGGAGCGGTGGAACTATACGACAGCAAGGGTAGCACGTTCAAGGTAAATGCACAGCGTCTGAAGCTGTACAACCCAGCTGATCCTATAGCCGCGAGAGGCGTTCTTCCTCTCGAATTACCACCATCAGCCTGAGCCCACACACGGTCTAGCTATCGACCATAAAGAAGCGCTTCTCGGGAGGCAACCCGAGGTCTTTGTATAATTTTAGGAGTTTTGGACTTTTGGACCATTTTAGTTGCATTAGACATGAGGTTTTGGTTTTGGGGAGCCTACGTGGTGTTTTCCCCGATGTGTAGATGTTTAGACCACGAGTTGCAGGTCATTCGGCGAAAATCGGGAACGCAGGTGAAGTTTCACAGACACCGGATCCGGACCGATTCCACCTAGAAACGGACCGGATCCACTTCAGCACGGGCCAGGTAAGTTCATCTGGATCCGGACCGATTCCACCTGGACTCGGACCGGATCCAAATCCGCGATCTACTTAAGAGGGTCGAACTCAGGTCTTCTTCACTCTTTTTTTTTTACTCTCGATTCGGCCCTCCCACTCCCACCTCTTACTTGATCCGATTCTACATCTACGACACCCAGGTATGCTTCCCTATCTATTTCATGACTCAAACATTGATTTATTCTGAGTGATTTTTGGATTTGGGTTGCTAGGGTTCATAAGAAATTTCAGGAAATTTGATTGTGGAGATGATTTCGTAGTTTTGGATAAGCTTTATGGGTCGATTCTGATGAGGATAGGTTAGATTCACATTGCCCATGCATTTGGATGCTCGATTTTGGTCATATTTTGCAGATTTTTTTCAGGCGATTTTCGAATCTTGGTTCGCTGCGATTGGATCCGGACCGGATCCAG